GACATGTCCTGATCAAAACTAACACCAAGGTTCTTTACATTAGAACTGGAGGCCAGATTAATGCCGTCCAGACAGATCTTCAAAAACTCGTTTTGATCACTAACTCTTGCAGTGTGTCAGGATTGGAGGCTTCATCAAGCATTCTTTTTGCCTGTTTTGCAAGAGCCTTCCATGTGTCATAAGTGGTAGTAAAGCGATGCATGAGTTTTTTAAATCTAGACTAGWTAAAAGCCGAATAGTAGCTAAAAGCTCAGTGTAGCATAAGAAGACAAATTGGATTCTAACTTATAATAAATAGAAGGAAAAAAAAAGCTAAAAACGAACAGAAGTAAAGCAGAAAATAAGCATAAAAAGCTGATCTTAGTTCTCAGACCATTTTGTGAAAGACTCTCAGCTACCACCACACCTGTTATATTTGACCTTGTTAGAAACATTTTAATGTTTGCTAAGGTTTTTAGCTGCTGAGGCCATTTTACACCAGACTGAAGGTTGAGTTCTGACCCATTTCAGGACCTGGCCACTCCGAAGGCCTTCTCCCTGAACCCGTCTCGGGTTTGGGAGTTCTATCACTACCGTCGTGAGGTCATGCTCACCAAGAACCCAAACCCGGCTCACCTGGCCATCGCMGAGTGCGAGGAGCGGCTCGCCGAACAAGGCCGAAAAGTGACCGTTATCACCCAGAACATCGACGAGCTGCACCGCCGGGCCGGGTCCAAAAACATCCTGGAGATCCACGGTGAGRGAAAAACCACTCGAGGGCTCCTGTTACTCCCACAAAACGCCTAAACACTTGGCTTTTAGCTGCTGTTCGGCATCTTTTTGCACCATTCACTGTGTATCACAGAAAATAAACATTTATAGCAGGAAAAGCAAAAAGTACTAAAAGTAGCAAAAGTGCAGCTGAAAGTAGCATAGAATAGATAGAAGCTCTAAGATGCTAAAAGGTAGCTAGAAGCTGAAAGTAGCAAAAGGTTAGCTAGAAGCTGAAAGTAGGTAAAGTTAGCAAGTAGCTGAAAGTAGCAAAATGTTAGCTAGAAGCTAAAAGTAGCAAAATGTTAGCTAGAAGCTAAAAGTAGCAAAATGTTAGCTAGAAGCTAAAAGTAGCAAAATGTTAGCTAGAAGCTAAAAGTGGCAAAATGTTAGCTAGAAGCTAAAAGTGGCAAAATTTTAGCTAGAAGCTGAAAGTGGCTAAATGTTAGCTAGAAGCTAAAAGTGGCAAAATGTTAGCTAGAAGCTGAAAGTAGCAAAAGAACAGCTGAAAGTAGCAAAGAACAGAAAGAAGCTGTAAGACACTAAAGGGTAGCTAGAAACTGAAAGTAGCTAAAGTTAGCAAGTAGCTTAAATTAGCTAATCTTAGCATGTAGCTAAAAGTAGAAAAATGTTAGCATGTAGCTAAAAGTAGCAAAATGTTAGCATGTAGCTAAAAGTAGCAAAATGTTAGCATGTAGCTAAAAGTAGCAAAAGGTTAGTTAGAACCTGAAAGTAGCAAAAACTTAGCTAGAAGCTAAAAGTAGCTAAAGGGTAGTTAAAAGCTGAAAGTAGCAAAGGCTAGCTAAAGGTTTTATACTGTTAACTATAAGGAGCTAACATATCAGAAGTATAGCTAAAAATGTTAGCCAAACAAAGTAAAAGTAGCAAAATGGATAGCTAGAAGCTGAAAAGCGGCAAAACCACAGCTACAAGGTAAAAGCAGCAAAAKGTTAGCTAAAAACTGAAACTAGTAAAAGGCTCACAAAAAGGTAGCAAATGTATATCTAGAAGCTGAAAATATCAAGTGTTACTAAACACAGCAAAATGTTGGCCGAAACCTAAAGTTGACCAAAACGTTTAAAAACTGTGGCTAGTATCTGCAAGTGGAAAAGGATGGCTAGAAGCTGAAAGTAACAAGCRTAGCTAGAAGCTAAAAGTTTCAAAAAGGTAGCTAGAAAAAAAAATAAGTTACAAGCTGAACCTAGCAAAGACTGTCTAAATGTTTTATAATTTTAGCTAGAATGAACAAATGATTAGCTAAAAGCAAAATATAGTAAGAGTAGCTAAAATTACAATTGCCATAAGCTGAAAATAGCTAAAGGTTAGCTAGAAGCAAAACCTTCTAAAGGGTTAGCTTGAAGAAGCAAAGGATTAGCTAAAAGCAAAACATAGCAAAAGGCTAACTAAAAGAAGCACATGAACAGCTAGAAGGTGAAAGTAGCAAAATGTTAACTAAAAAGTGTAAAAATCTAGCCAAAGGTAGCAAAAGACTCTAGAAAAACAGTTGCCAAAATTACGGAGCCTTGGCTCGAAGCTGAAGGTAGCAGAACAGTAAGTAACAGTAGCTAAAGGCTAGTTCAAAGCTTTAAGTAGCAAAAGTGTAGCTAAAAAGTAAAAGTAGCGTAGTGTTTTTAGAAGGTTTAGGTTCAGAACATTTTGTAAAAACTAAGAAATGAAAAGATTTAAAGACCAAGTAAAACTAATGAATCAGAAGCTGAAAAGACGTTTGTTTGTTTGTTTTTGTTTAAAGTGTTTGTTGTTGTTGTGTTTTAACGCAGGCAGTTTGTTCAGAACGCGCTGTATGACCTGCGGTCACGAGGCGGCCAATCACAGGAGCCCCATCTGCGCCGCTCTGAGGGGCAAAGGGTAAGCTGTCGGTCCGGTTCTGTAGACCCGGCGGTTTCCCTCCTGGTCTGAGCCGTGGACACCGATCAGCCAGAGAAATCTCGTAATAATCAGCCGAACGTCAGGAAGCTAAACGACGCGCGACGACTCGGCTCTGACGTTTAGAACCCTGAACCAGAACCTAACGTCTGACCTGACTGTGTCCCGTTTCAACGTGTCCCCACAGAGCTCCAGAACCAGGAACACAGGACGCCCAGATCCCCGTCGATCAGCTTCCTCAGTACGAGTCGTTCAGCAGCTTCTTCTTCTTCTGTGGTGTTTGTTTTGACTGTCTGTGTTTCAGGTGTGAGCAGRGCGGCTGTGACGGCCTCCTGAGACCAGCTGTGGTTTGGTTCGGGGAGGCTCTGGACTCTGGCGTCCTGTCCAGCGCAGAGCGAGCGTTGGACAGCTGCGACCTGTGTCTCGTGGTGCGTCACAATTTAGGTTTTTAATTTAAAGCAACCCGAAACGCATTTATGTATTTATTCAACTTCCTGTTTCCCCTCCCTCAAACTTTAAGGTYGGCACCTCGTCGGTCGTGTACCCGGCGGCCATGTTTGCTCCCCAGGTGGCRGCCAGAGGCGTCCCCGTCGCCGAGTTCAATATGGAGAACACGCCGGCCACTCAGCGCTTCAAGCACGTCTCGTTTTTTATTTTTAGTATCTCTTTATTTTATCTTCTCCTGTAAGCTGACGTGGTTCTGTCTGCAGGTTCCACTTCCAYGGACCCTGCGGGACCACCTTACCCCCGGCTCTGGCACGCCACGAAAGTGAAGGAGTCTGAAACCCGATCCATCGGCAGACGGATAGTTTTAACCAAAAGAGRACATTTATTTAAAATTCCCAACTGCTTAAAAGTGAAAAGTGGAGACATGAAGAGCAACAAAGTGTCGTTGCACCAGTAGGGGGCAGCGTGGAGCTGCTGCAGGATCTGTGTGCAGAGGCTGCTCTCTTCTCCAACATCTGCAGTCCGAACAGATTAACTAAAAGACTTAAAGTTATGTGCAATACCATATTTATCAAGGAAAATCAATCAGCTCAAAGGGTTAAAACTGAAAAATAAAATCATAAACCGATGATTGTCAACTGGTGGCTCCTGGTCCCCTTTATGCAGACTGCTGTTTCACTTCACTTCATTTCATTTGTAACAAATTAAGTACAAAAAATATGCAATCACAATAAAATCAAATAAAATCAAAGGCAGCAGAAGAAGAATAAATCTTATATCTGCCCCTTTTTTATACCCAAAATATGTTCATAAGAAGTAAAATATGACAAAAAAACCCAACTTAACACTTAAAATGAACTACAAACATTTAAAACGCCCAGTCAAACAACAGCTAGCATGAAATCACTTCTCCATATTTCTTCAGAAAACTAGTTTTTATCATTCTCTTCAATATATCCAAGGATCTGTCATTTTTAACCTCATCTTCCAGGCTGTTCCATAATCTTATTCCCTGGATCAAAGTGGATCGCTCCTTTAGGCTCGTACGATACCAGGGTTTCACAAACATTTCAAGTCCTCTAAGGTAATAACAGCTCTCTCTTTTAACAAAATTTACTTCAATGTTGAAAGGTAAGACACCTTTTATGAGCTCTGTACATTAACAGTAAAATATTATAATCGACCAAATCATAGAATTTTAATAGTTTCAATTCATAAAACAATACATTCGATGGATGGCTGTAATTTTTTCTAGTAATAATTCTTAGCGTTTTTTCTGTAAAATGAAAATTGGATTTGTGATAGTTTTACAAGCTTTACTCCAGACTTCAATACAGTAAATTAAATGTGGAACAATTATAGCGTTATCCAACATAAACAGTGCTTTATCAYTGAACAGTTCTCTTACTTTGTACAGGACTCCAATTGATTTGGCTGTTTTTGTTCTTAAACCATTTATATGATTTTTCCATGTCAGTTTTTCATCAATAATGACACCTAGAAACTTCACTTCACTGACTCTACAGATCTCTACATCATCAATTTTAAATGAAACATCTACAGTTCTCTTATTGTTACAGAAAAACATATAATTTGTCTTGTCCAAGTTTAATGATAATTTATTTAGTTGAAACCAACTTTGTATTTTCACAAATTCTGTCTGTACCATCTCCAACATTAGTTCTATATCATTTCCGGAACAAAAAAATGTATCATCTGCAAATAGGAAGCACCCAAAAAGACCCGACACATTTACCAAATCATTCACATACAAAATAAATAATTTTGGTCCGAGAATGGAACCCTGCGGCACTCCACACGAGATGTTAAAATACTCAGATCTTACTCTGTTTTTAGGCCTGTTCAGATGGCCAATCAGAGCGTTCGCCCACGGCTATTAATCTGGTTTGTAAGCAGCAGTGGTGGGCACGATTCTGCTAATCTGCTAATAACAGGGCTAACTTTTTAGTTTAGCGCTTTTGCTAACTTTGGAAACTATTAGTGGACCTATTAGCATTTTTGTATAAAGTACCACAAAGTCATACTTGAGTAAAAGTACAAGTATCTTACCAAAAAATGACTGGTAAAAGTTAAAGTCTCCTTTAGGA